AAATACTCACTGGGTGTCATAAAAGTCACCGCTTGCTTTTTTCAGGAGTAAAAACTATCGGAAATTTAAAATGTTGCATTAAATTTGTTAATCTTTTATTGCTGGGCCCTACGTTGAATTAAAATAGTGTTAGTTTTTATCATAAAATAAAAAGATTCTTTCGTTTTGAGAAAGACGATGTATATACTGTATATTCGTGTTCCCGTGATATATGTGATAGGGGTATCAATCAAAAATGGGATATACAGTATGAGAGGATTTAGAAACAGGGAAATATGAAATACGAAGTTTGCCTGATCTAGTCATTATTATTATTATTATTATATAAGCAAAAGTGTGTGTATCAATAAATTCTACTTTTCGTGCCTACTATGTGCATATCCAAAATTTAAGTACTATGACACAATGCTTTTTTTTGTTATAGTCGAGTCGTCAAGATAAGTGGTAAGAATGATCAGTGTCTACTTTGAGATTAAAATAAATATTTAGTCTACATGTACTGTAAAAACTAATTTCGAGCAAAAATTTAAAAATATAATGAATAAAGATATCAGAAAGGAATCAAGAAAATAGCCTTGATAATAAATCTTATTTAGGTGTAGTATTTTTAAAATTTATTACATTTATTTTAATTCACTGTAAACTACTCGGTTATAGGGATGTTTTGTTTTATGCAGGAGGAAGGTAGTAGGATTTACAAAGTAGAACCTTTTTGGAGAAAGCTTTCGAATGAGAGCTTTCGCATAGAAGGAAGATTAAAACTTTACGGGGAAAGTAATAAGACCATAGCCAAAACCATAAAAAGAAGCTATCCATGTTTCCTCAAAATAAAAAAAAGTTTTTTTTTTAAAAAATATTTTCTTAATGGCTATTTGCAAAATTAAAAAAAAATTTTTTTAAAGTATAGAAAATTCCGACAGATTATGGTCATGTATGGTACATTGAATCTTTTTAAAACCTGTTGTACGAAACCTTTCATTATATTTCTATTTATTAAAATTTAATTTCAAATATGTAGTCTTAGTATTGTGCGCAATATAGTACTTACTTATGACAAAGGCAAAATTTTTTCTTATGTTTTACGGTCTCTCTACACATACTGTAGTATTACATCGCTACAAATCTTAGTGGATCAGGTGAAAGTCGGTTGTTAACTCCTCGACGTAGATTTGTTAGAGTCATCTATTGCTTCATAATTTATGCTCTTATATTTTATATGTATGTTTTTATATTCAAATATTTTTTGATAGCGAAATCCGTCATATTTTTCACTTGTCGGTTATTATAAGTGCGTTTCTGTCATACAAATATTAAGCAACTATTTTAACGAAGACGTTTTCTTTTCTAGGGTGAGGAGATACAGTATTATAAACGTCATGAATATGGTAATGCTAGCACAGATCTATGGAAGGCGCTGACCGAAGAAAGTATTGGCGAATTTATATCTATTGCGAACTAGAGTTGTCAAAGTATAAAAAATTTTGATGATACGTATAGGAAACAAGCCACATTGACGGGTGAAATACGTAATTATTAAGTAAAACAAGAGGTGGTTATAAAATATACTGTACGTAATAGAGTTTATTTATGTACTATTTGATTGACAAAGAATAATGTTTTAAGAACTTGCAAAATCGTTTTAGTCTCTAACCTTATAATTATTCTTTTTAGTTTTTTATATGCTTAAAAAAATAATATGTATAAACTGTAAATTCTATGAAAACCAAGACAAATTTTCATGAAAACTTAAAGTTTGAGATTGAATATTATCCGAGTAACTGTCAAGAGGAATACGGTACCATTATTAGCCACTGTAATCAGTCCTCTTCACAATTAAAAACGTGCGGAAAGAAGAAAGAGTTTGCAATTTTGTATGTGCGAGCCTAACTATGCAGAAGAAATGATTTAACATCACCATTTTTTAAGTAGCACTATTTTTAATCGTTCAAATGCAGTGTCACCTGTCTGCAC